GAAATTACATTTGGATCACACTATCATTTTAAGCGAGTCTTGGTTGAGAGGAGTTGCAGACTGCAAGCTTTTGATCACTTTTAATAAAGTTATAGGTACTGTATGACGTTGGCTTTGAAATAAAACATGCAAAATTCTTTGCTCTCTTCTTATCGCTAATTAAATTCCGCTTAAAAGCTTTTATTGTCGCCAGAGCTTGAGTTCATTTTCTGCATTTACAGCAGATCTTCGTTAGCGATAAAGGTTTCTTGTCAGACTCAGCAAACTGGGGAAATAGTGAAGGTCACTTATGTAACGGCTCATGCGACATCACATGCAGTGGAGACTTTAAAATATCGGTATCTGTAAAACGGCTACGCTGAGTTTTCAACGAAGCTCCGACGTAGAGGCGATGAAGATAAACAAAATTTTTTCTGGGTAACTACCAAATCACTTTTTTACTGCAAAGGAAAGGACTGGCACCGGCCCTTAAAAAGCGTGACGATTTCCTTTCTGTCACTTCATAGGAAATTTTTCCGATTGAAAGGACCAAGTCTCCATTCACTCTCACGCAATCTCGGCCTTCCCACAGCATTATGTGACAAAAGCTTTAAAAGAGTTGAAGTAGACCAGGTGAGCGTCTTTGTTTACCACTGTCGAGCAGGCTCCAACATAGAATTATGTGTACCTAATAATGCTTACTAAATATCATAGAAGAAAAAAGCGCTTTAAAGCCACCTTCAGTATCCTAGATCACCTTTGAGCAAATTCGCACCATCACAATGACCTATGTCTCTTCAAAACAATCCAAATGCTGCTCGACAAACAATCGTAAGGCTTGACAGAAAGATTCGTCTCGTACAACTTCCAAAACCTGAATTTTTCTTGAATGACCTCCATAATTAAAAGCATTTAATACCTAGTTTCCCTCCGGAAATGATCAATTAATGACGTGTGCTGTGGTATCTTAAGAAGTCTACAGTTTCCCATTATTTACGCTGTATCTCGTGAACACGTTTATCGATCGAACGACGAGAATGACAGCTTCAAGTGGAGGGTTCGATTCTTCACCTTGTTAAAACACAGGCATGGTAAATCGTATGTTATCTTCAAGGCGGCACTTGAAGTTAAAGGCTTCAATCGAAGCTTAGTATAGGAGCCATTCAACAGTCGACCGATTACATACTAACGACAAAAGAGTTCCCGGCAGTATATCGGTGGGTAATCAGCGTAAAAGGTACTTTGTGTTGGTGTTAGTCTGTGAGGTCCTAAAGTCAGTTATATTTACCTTGTCGCTTTTCATAACGCCATACGTGATGACAATCGACATAACAACTGTTTCATACCAGTAAACACCTACATATGTTTGAACGTTTGTATTATTGTATGCGTCAGATCTCCCTTAATTAATCGTTACCATTTGTTTTCCACTTTTTCCGCCAGCCGGCTTTTCCTGACTCGCTAAATCGTACTGACTCGGATTCTAAATTTTGACATTCAATCATTCAAATTTAAACTAAATCGTCATCTTAATGTTAACGGTTGTAATTTTGTGTCGAAAAGAAACGGAGACCCTGCGTTTTTAAAGCATACTCATTTATTCTGAGGATGTCTTTGGACGACGATGTAGGTTTTACGGTCAGAGAAACACGTTCAGCCATACCCTCCGTGATATGGTAGATAGTTATCTTCTATCGGTCGCGTGATGATCTCGTTTCGAATTATTCTTGAAGTCAATGGTTTTGTTTTGACCCAAGAGTATCCGATGAACTCAAAGACAAATTACTCGCATGCTGGCGGAATGTAATTCGAGAACAGAAATCCTCGCCGCGCAGCAATAGCGTAAATCGCTCATTAAGAACTCGTTATGGACATTTTCATGGGGGTGCACGAACAGGAAACTATACCTGTGCCATTTCTTTTTTTTTGGCCGAGAAGTGAGACATTTGCAAGTAGAAAAAAATTACGCGTGTCGACGTATTTCACGCTGCAATCCTCTTGCGCGTAACTCGCGTGTGAATTGTTTAAGGCTGCCCTTGGCAAGCTGAGGTAAAACAGGTAGCGTAAAACAGGTAGCGTAAAACCACACGAGAAGATAATAAAAAGACATCTGAAAAGCTCCAGACTTTGAACCAACGAACAATAGGGTCGTTTTCTAACCGTTGAGCTAGCATCAATGAATCAATAGACTGATTCTTTGGGTGCGCTACTCCATAACTGGACAAAAAGCAGAAAGAAATCTGATGGATCAAAATATTTGGGTTTACAGCAGGAATTCTGAAAATGGATGGTGGGGGTCATCATGCCCTTTTTTTCAATCTAGAAAGAGAAACCACAACAACCACGCAGTGGTGGTTTTTATGCACGATAGAATTTAAAGGAAATATTACATCCCTCATTCCCATACTGGAAGCTAGTTCCTTCCGTTGACGAAATGCTAATCGATTCGTGAATAATGCCAGAAAAGTCGTTTAAAGAGCGCAGAAGCTCTTTGAGGGTGAAAGTTACCCTCCTTACCTGATGGTTAATGAAAGACGATCGAATCGATTGCGAGTTGTTCTATTTCGTTTTTGGAACTCAATGCAGAGCGAGAAACTTACTTAGGGATCCACTGAAAAGTAGCAGGTCTGCTTGGTTAGAGGTATTGGGAGCGCTTTTTTTGCGTTAATTAAGCATTAGGACAGAATGCTCGGATTGTAGTGGAAGTGGTTTTCTCCGTCTCCCTCTCGAAAACATGCTTGTCGTTGTTACAGTTCCGCCGACTTTGCTCTCATCGAGCGCCCAAGAAACTTGTTACAACTCAGACTACTTGGGGCGTGAATTCCATCTCCCAGCCCATATTTTGCCTAATTTTAGACCAGTTTCAGTCCCGGTGACCCAAAGTTCATTTGCCTACTGAAGGCGAATCCTGGTTCTCATTTTACCCCTTCAGGCCCCTCTTACAGGCTTGCAGAAGATGCAGTCTATAACTAATACAATGTTCTGGAGCGCCTTTCTTTCACATGTTTTGAATAAATTTGACGTGCACATAAATTATGCCATATTTTGTGATTGTTTGGAGTACAAAACTTTAGATTGTAGAGTTTTAAATCATAGTTTGTCCTTCAAGTGACCTATTGCTAATGCATTTACTGAACGGAACTCTCGAAAATTTCCATTTTGCTTAGAATCTTGATCCTAGCGAAACATTTCAAATGTTATGGAAAGAAACGTGATGTCTAATCAAGCTAAATAAATGAATTAACACGAAATGAAAATGAACAATATGAAATCCCTGTTAGTGACGGAATCAAGTAGCCATTGAAAAAAAGCCATTCTACTTGAAGATATTGTGAAGAGGAAAGAAAACAGATTTGATAAAATCCGGTGACAGTGATCAAAAACCTCTTCAGTCTTTACTTAAGATACATACCATGTTTTAAAGGTCAAGTCTAAAAGAGCGATAGATTTCTGATCAGAAGGAGAATGAAAGCTTTGAGAGTTCAAAGTTGTAGGAGACGTTTGATCCAAAGTTTCGCGGTAAGAGTTGCTCTCCAATTTCAGCGATTGAATTAAGCACAGAAAGGGTGAAAGTTGAGAAGGAAAGGGAGAGGGGAGGGGCGCTCATACTCTGTTGAGTATGCTTGTTTGACTGGATATTTCTGTTGTATTTTTGATGCAGACTATTCCTACGGAGTAGATGCATACTGAACCGTTAAGATCCTCGCCGTCCACCGTGTCGAGATGGCCACCGCAGAGAAGGCGAAGGAAACGAAAAAGATCCAAACAGGGAATAACAGCACGAGTCAGGTAACTGATCCTTTAGCCTCTAGCACCGGCATCACTACCAGCCGTGATTAACTCCCAACTTCTCATTCCAATATCAATACATAACTAAGCAATCTGGTAATGAGAATAGACAAAAGCATCAGATGGGTATTGGTGTGATGTAGTACCAAATTCTCAGAACTAGTGTACAAAAGAAGTTATAAGAGTTCTAAGCCACGAATTTGGAATCATATTTTAGGAGTGAGTCGATTAAGTCAATTAACAAACCCAGCCATCCACATCTTCGCAACACGTCTCCGAGTTTGGATGAAACATGCGACGAGACTAAAAGATTAGAGTTGCATAACATTATTTACAGTGGAGACCCAAACGTCGGAAGTTTGACAACCTCCTCAATAGCGTTTTGTTTGCTTTTAAAACAAGAATTGTTTTATAGTTGAATGTTCATCATTCCACAATTGAGCCCTCTTTCACCAGATCGGGCGTGTTATTGTGTTTTCTCTTGCAAATTGTCACAAGTGTGTTGTTTTTGAGGCGGAGGGAGACAAGCAATACAAAAGAATCGACCTCAAATCAATGTCTTTAGTTACCTTCTACCGTATTAAGTGAATTCTATCTATCGGATATATATCAGATAAGAATCATATTTTGACAATATGACGATTTTCACAGGTGGAGCTAAGATGTTAATATGAGCATAAAACCTAACACTTCTTGAGCAAGCTGAAAAACTGAAAATAAGATCTTTTAAAACTATTTCGTAACTAGCACATAGCGCTTTTCGTGGACAACCCGTTCTTCTTCAACGATCGTTTTAATGGCTTAGTAAACGAAGTGAATAAATATGCAGTGACAATATACTTGATTGGATTCTTCCGAAAATAGAACAAAAATATATTCAGTCTGCAAAGTTCACCTCAGTTCAGACCACTTCCGGTTGCGTGAACAATCGTGTTTCCGGAACAGAAAGGTTGTGTGGATTTAGTTTCAAAATGAAGGGTTTAGCGCCAGTTGTACTCTTTGTTTGACTACGAGGATGTAATTTCCCTATTTCCTTTCATTAAAATTTCAATCTTTCTCTACGTCCAAAGGGAATTATCTTTTTACAGCAAGTCAGTTCGTTGTTCATTCGAAGTGAAGCCTTTAGTTTCTCTCAAGTAACCGAACTCTTTTATTAATTTTCCGATTAAAACGCTCGGCCAGCGGAATAGTTGTCGGTTTCTCCCGGCAGGCGGTCGGACGTTTCCGTTTGGAATATGGCGGACAATTTGTTATTATGGAACGAAATAACATGAAAGAATTTGGAGCTTGTGGGTAAAATATGTACGTTGGCCGTCACCATGATTACGGCAGATACGAAGATGAATCTTCGGAGGAAGAATGTGAACACTGCTCTAGACAAAACGTTCGTTTACGAAACGAGGACAATTGGTCGGGCACACTGTAAGCGTGAATTTTAGAAATACTTGGTCTTTCAATTGTAAACTATTAGGCCATGTCGTGAGTTTGCTCTCTGTCGTGGCGTTAATTAGAATGTTTTAAAGTATTTAATGACTTTATCACCTGCCTTGCTAGGGTTTCATGATGAATGATGTTTTCATGAGAGAATATCTTTCGATTAGCTATTTCCCGACTCAGTCCAATGTAATGTTTGTTGTCACGATCGCTTCGGAATGGTCACCCACATCTCGGTGTCGATTTCTAATTTTGGTATAATTTGTGCACACACCGTTGATTATTTGTTTCATCATTTAAACACCCATCATCAATATTGTCTGATTCCTAAGTATATCGGACTAAGAGTCCATTTGTTAGTCAAAAACTGAAATTGTATGATTTTACTTAGTGAAGGAATCTGTGTTGTGTTGCACTTTTATGTTTTGCAAAGAAATGAATAGTCAAAAATTTTAAGTGTGCAAACAGAAAGGCGTTAATAACTCTCGATAACGATCTCTTGACTTGTTTCACGGCATCAGCGTGAAATTTATGTAGATTTGGGGTTCACGTAATGGTCGCTGTTGTTCACTTCTGCATCACTTAAGGTCATTCGCATATTTCAGGTACGAAGAACCGCCGTGGGCAAGTCATATTAAAGAGAAAGGTGATGTATTTTACGTTGAGCCGTTCAACGAACCTTCTCCGAACGACATGTTGGACGCACTGGAACGATTGGACGTTTCAGAGAACGGTACACAAGGAGATAGAGAGAAAGACAAGGGCAAATCGACGCTTCGGAGTTTAAGTTCTGTGAAGAAAATTATTCCTGGATTGAAGCGAGACAGATTTGACGACAAGAGCCCTAATGAAAAGAACCATAAAAATTCAAGTGCTGTAACTCGTGGAACTGTAGACGGTCTTTTAGATGGCAGTAAAGTGGTTGGTAGATTTTTCAAGAGAGAAGTCCATCTCATTGTTTCCCCTCCAAAAAGCCATTCTGGGCTTAAAAATGACCTAGAGACTCTACTTGGAATTATTCCTGGGAGAGATAAATCTGGCAAGATGGCACAAAATGACAGTTACTCAGGATCTAGGCTCTATATCAAAGGGTTTGTTCCTGATGGACCAGCTTTGCGAAGCGGAGATCTTAGAATAGGTATGGTATTGTTTGCAAGTGATGCATGGCAACAGTCATCCAGCACAAGTGTTTGACAATCAAAACCTTGAATGCACTTAAGCTCTCTGGCTCAACACTCTTAATTCCCAAATTTGGGCATAACATGTCCTCTTAAAGTAGTATACCCAAATTGTTCAAAGGATAGATGACACTTTTGATAAATAAATCACTACTTTGTGGACATGCTCAGTTAGTTTGTATATCCACACACCCATGCATCCTGTGTTACTCTATCTACCCTCCGCACATATGAATACAAGAGAATAGGTGTACTTAGTTTGTATACCATCTGGAAGTAAGGCTTGATGTCATGATCATCACTGATCAGGGAGAAAACTTTTGCACATAGCATTTGTCCTTTTCATTCCTAGATGTAATCAATTTACAAAATGTTTCATTCATTTGTTTCCAGGAGATGTGCTACTGTCATTAAACAAATTAGATCTTAATTCAAGCAATGTTCACACAATTCTTGCTGCCATTACTGGGCCAATGGAGGTGAGGCATAACATATTTTCCACTTCTACATGGTGTTTCAAATTTTTCAAACCAATTTGATCATTTTTTCTGTTTACTCGTAATTCTGTTGCTAATGAGAGACACAGGAAATCAAACTTCAGCTCAGCTTGAAACAGTTTTGCAACAACATAAAAAGTGAAGCACAAAACTACCTGGTGTAACTCTGAATTTTTATGGCAAATGTCTGAGTGTTATCTTTAAATGTGGTTATTATGTTTAAAGAAAATGGAAAAAAATTCAGATTTTAAGTCATAATTGTGTTGATGTAATACTGTAACAGGTAGACTTTATTTTTGCACTTGTCAAAATATAAAAAATGCAAGTTAGATGTTGTGAAGGAAACAGTGTTTTTTTCAATGATTGTACATATAGAAGAAGGTTTGCACTAATCCAAAGCTCACTTTCAAGGTGTACAATCCACTGTGGTAAAACTCTCCTATACTTAGAACTTTGCTTACAACTTAAGTTTTCAATGAGAGAATTGTTTCACAAATTTGCCCCTTTAGATCACTCTTACCATTCAAAGAGCAATCCAACCAAAGATAGCATCCCCAGTCATTCATCAAAGTACCCCACCAAAGAGTGACAGCCATCTTGTGAAGTTAATCAGTGGAGAGGTACCTCTTGCATCCAAACCAAACCTAAAGAATATCCCTCATGTGGCTTTGTATTTAACCATTACTTCCAGTGAAGATAATGGTGAACCTGATAAGGTAGGTGTATATGTCCTTGTATGATAACATGACTTCTTAGTCTGGATTGGCAGGGAGATAGGAGGGGATAGAATGGGCAAGAGGCCATAACTTCTATATCATGAGGCAGTATGGTTATTCAAAAAGTTATGAGGTTTCCCGAGGCTTATAGTGAGCTTTAGTGCCTGTTTTATACTCATTATTGTACAGAGGTTATATTATTTTAAGCCCAACAGGAGAACACAATGACCTTGCCAGGGCAGTAAAGGAAAAGCATTGATCAATTTATCATGGAGTATCCCGCTGTCACTTTTTCACAAGAAGCCTGAAGAAATTGTATCAAGGCCTAAGTTTTCCAGGCTTTTTTTTCCAGGTTACTTCTGAGGATCAAGTGTTAATTAACCAACATCCACAGGTCAAAATATAATGAATTCATTTAAATATGATAAAGTCCCTCACTGCTCACAAAAATGTGCTAATACATGTAATTAAATGTAGATCATAGCACACCATGCACTCTGAGGTGTTTGTGTGATATAGTTAAATATACAATAGCTTTCCTGTTTTCTGATTGGCTTAATTTTTTCCACATGGTATAATGTTGAGAAAAACATGAGAAAGCCCAATATGATGAGTAAACTCATTGATCTCACTTGTTTTGCTTGTTTAATAAATATAGGACATACTTTACCAGTATCCTAAGACAGAGGCAGCAACCAAGTTAGTTGGGCTAAGGGGAATGTTCTTGACTTTGAGTGATTTAATGTCATCTGTGACAGGCAGTACAGCAAACAGGTATGTACATGTAGTACTGGTATAGTATATTGCATCACTTAAATTAATTGATTAAATGATGAATGCTGATTGTTCTGATTATTAAAACATGTTCAAACATAAATTTCAAGTTATATTTGTTGAGCCCCTTACATTTAGCAATTTTGTTTTGTGAAGCATTGTAATGATTATGATCATAGTGATTATTGTGTAAATTGCATTTGCATTATGTTGCATTTAGTATGTGCAAGAGTGCTTGTAAATGGTGTAGTTCCACCTGTAGGTAGATGAGGAGTTTGGATACATGTCTACGAAGAAAGAATGAGGGGAAAAATTCCATTTTCAAATGGAATCGTGTTTGGTGTGTTGAAAGGGTTTTTGTGTTGTTATCTATATCAACATGAATAATAAATTCCAAACTTCATTTCATAAGATTTAATGTAATTCATTCTTGTTGTCTGTTATTTTTAGTTCTACACTGGTGTTGGACAAGAAGCTGATTCATGTTGTGTATTCTAAACTGGACAGAGATGTGTTAGTCATGGCTATGCCAGCAGAAAAGTATGTTTTTAAAGTATTAAAACATATAGATAATTTCAGCACATTTTTTCTAATAAGACCAGGGGGATTTTTGTTAGTTTTCTGTACATCCTTAACCAAGGGCAAAACTAGAGTATTTTCTGGTGTTATCTTTTCCTAATCTCAAGTCTCTCTCTTTTTTGTCAGAATACCTCTTATTCAACTGCAGAAGGTTGTTGCTGATGTTACACAAATACTCTCTCTTACATTTGGATCAATGCAAAGGTATTGTTTAGGATGATTTGTTAGTCTTACTGGTATAGTTTTGATTGTTTGGTGAAAACATGTTTTGAGTACATTGTATATGTATATACATTAAATTTTTCTCACAGAAGAGAGTGCAGTATGCATTAACATACTTTCCATTTTATACAATAACTGAACACTATTCCTCAAAGGTGGCGCTTTTTGTGGCCCAGAGTTATACTGAGGGGTGTTCATTTTAATTGTACTTAACATATATAAAGAAACTGATGGGCATTCCAATCTGCTGCTCAAAGATGATCTATTTTCTACATATTGTACAGTAAGATAGATCTAGTAAACCCTTTAACTCCCATTAGTGACCAAGGCAGAATTTCTCCTTACAATATCTATACAATATCAAGCAGATAAGTGATGAGAATAAATAAAAATATTAATTAGGGGATTATTAGTTGATCCAATACCAAATTCTCAAAAGCAACATTAGAAGAACTATATGGCAGACAGTAAGGAGAATTACTCATGAGATCTTGGGAGTTAAAGGGTTAAATAATATTGTACAGCTCAAGTTTAGCCACAAATGGTTAAATAAATCAGCATCTTAACCCTTTACAGCCTAACATCAGTATGCACACTCTCTGTACTGTTATCTATACATTAATTTTCTTAAGGTGCTGACAAAGAGAATTTGTTTAACAGTCAAGAGCTTCTTTACTTGGTGATCATTTACTTAATTCTCATGATCTTAAATGAATGATTCAGAAGTATTTTTCTCAGGAGAAACTAGATGCTGGTCACTCTTAGGGTTTAAAGGATTGATACAAAATTGTTGTAATCTATGTCTCACTTGACTGTTCTTTACAGGGCGTTTTGTGACAAATTCAACAAAGTCCGTGCAGATCATCTGTTTTCTCTTCTATTTGACAAAGCCCTCACCAGGCCCCCAGGAGCTAATGAAAAGGATTGTGTAAATCGACTTACAGACCTTTTGCCAGGTGTTCAGTGGCTCAACCTACCCCTGGCCACAGAGGTGAGGAGACTTTTTTTAGCTATAATGTATCATGGTTTATTAAATATTAAGTATTTTTCATTACCAAAAAGCAAGAAAAAAGATGTAAGCTACACTGATAAAAGTAGAATTATGTTCTTCAAGGAAGGACAAAACTTTCCTACCCTGGATCTACTGCTTTTCTGCAGTACTGGTATACATTCCTGATTTACATTCCGTGTTTCAGGCAAACCCAATCCACAGACTATGAACCTTGATTATATTACGCATTTATAAATAAAAGAAATGGTGTATTCCTTGAAGCAAAGACATAGTGTTTTATGGATTTTTCATGCCACACATCATGTGAAAGAGACCAAAAACAATGACAAATGTAATATTTCCTTGAATAAGTGCCCACACTCTAATAAGCACCCTCTCGTGAAAAAATAGTGCCCACCCCCAAGGCTACAAAGTCAAACAAGCATCCCGCAAAGAAGAGTCCTCCCTTCCTCCCTATACTTGGAAAACCTGTTTCTACTGCCACCTTATTTATAACTCCTTTAAGAGCTTCAACTACAGCAAAGTCAGTACAGGTGTCCCCCTTGATTTAGTGCCCTCCTTTTAGCTGAAATTTTCAGTGCTCTGACGCTTCTTGAGGAAGTATACTAAGTTGAGTTAATATGAATTAGATCTACCTGTAGAAACTTGGCCACCCCTAGTTAAAAGACTGAGACAACCCAGTCTGACTGGAGTTTTTTTCCCCTTGTTTTAATTCAGTTATTTCCTCACAGGTTCATGTACACTGCTGTCTAAATGACTTAGAGGCTGCAGATTATGGAGAATTTGTAAGTCTTGACCTGATAGTATTGTGTGTAGTAAGCAGTATACAAAGATAACACAATAACAATTTCTTTAATTTGCCATGATGAAAAATATAAATGACATGAAGTCTTTGTGAATGCCATACATATAGTTCTGATGATTGCTGCTTTGCACACAACTTAGATAGTCTTTGTGAATGTCATACTTACAGTTCTTATGACTGCAGCTTTGCACACAACTGCATATATCAGGTTGCATTTGGGATTATCACTTTATGATGAGTAACGGTTTGACATGAAGTTCTCATGGTTGCTGTTCTTTTTTGTTGTTGTTGTTTTTTTTTGTTTGGTTTTTTTTTGTTTATTGTTTTGTTTTCCTTTTTAGGCAGATGAGTTTTTTCAGATTAGAAGATTATATACAATTTTAGGCTCCAGTATATTTTATAAGGTATGGCTTCAGAGAATGTGTTAATAGAACGTCTCTCTATAATGTTAGGGAAGACGTTCATCTTTGGCAAGTCCATTTATACAAACACTGACCCACCACATCTAGTGAAATGTGATGTTATGTTACTTCTAAAGTCACACGCTATTGACATCATGTCATATCACATGGTACACCACATGTCACAGAACATCGTTTAACCTCATGTTATAATGGTACATTTAATGTCGTGTTACATCAAGTCATGTGACATATGATATTGCGTGAAATCGTGTCGTGTTACATGTTACTTTCTCTACACCAATTTAAGGTGTCATGACTTTAATTTCCTGATAAAATGTTCTTTTTTCCTTAGGGATATTTAGTAGCCAATCATTTAAAAAGAGAAGATTTAGAAGATATTGTATTATACTGTAAATATCATTGTTTACTGGCCATGAGTGCAGAACAGAGAGTTGGTCAATTAGTTATCTGGCGAGAGGTATGTTAATATTCAAACGTGTCTCAACTGCTTCAGTTTAATCTTTTTAACCTTACCCATGTTCACATATCACGAGAGAGGCGTTTCAAACCCCCCTCCACAACAGGAATGATTAAAGAATAATGGTTGATGACAAAAGAAAGAATTCCAAGAAAATGTTGGCAAACAAACCCCTTTCATGTAGACTGAACTGAAGTTAACCCTTTAGTTCGTGACTTACAGTATTACCCTTAAATTGAAAACAAAAAGGTCAAGACGGTAATAAAAGAAGTGATTACCAATTCAAGTACACCGTAACACCTGATTTTCAAAAAAATTCTCCTTTTCCGTACCATAGGAAATGTATAGGGAACAGTAGGGAGAATATGGAAACATCATTAATGTGGCGGTGTGAAGGGTTAATACTACTAGTCATTTTTCCCTATATCAGACAAGCTTGCAAACCGTCAACATAGGGAACTAATATACTCATTTGACAATTGAACATGTTGATGTTTTAGAAGCTATTACCTGGATAGTTTCATTACAAGCCGCTAAAACATACCATGCAGTTCCTATGGTGGTATTTCTTTTGTTTACAAGAATAAGAGCAACCCAGTTTCAAGGGCTAAATGTAAACGTCTCTTACTGCTCGTTATCTCAAACATAAGTCTGCGTCAAGAGATCATGATGGAACCAATTGTTAACGATAACGAGCTGGCTACGCATTTAATCAGAATGGGAGGTAGACTTTAAAACGCACCATCCGTGTCTCACACTATTTACGTATATATGTGTTGTTTGAAGGTTTTTCCGACGCGAAGACAAAGACCGAGACCTGAAACCAGAAAGGGAGATGAAGAAGAATATTATGAACCAACTGCAAGATATTTTTTACTCATCGTAGGCATGGTAAGAAAAAAAACAAGCGCAGACATAAACTGATGTGTATTACCAGTAGAACCTACATAATCAACCCTTTAACTCCTAAGATTTAATGGTTAATTTTCCCCTCCTGCTACTACATATTTCCTTTCAAATTAGTTACAAGAAGTTGGTGTCAGATCAAGACAACAACTTCTGTTTGATATGTTTGAGTATTCTCACTACCTATTTGCTGGATAATGTATGGATATTGCAGGGAGAAGTTAGATGTTAATCACTTCTGGGAGTTAAAGGGTTCACTTAATAAAGCCAAACTAGTTGGCATTTATAATGATTTTAGATATATGAAATTCATATATTTTCACTGCGGTGAAGACACGAATTTAAGAGATCCTCGCAGCTAAGAACACCACTGAACTAGTAGTAAAAAATAAGACCTGGAAAAAATTCAGGCCCAAACGGGATTTGAACCCATGACCTGTGCGATACTTGTGCAGCGCTAGTTGGTATTTTGGGGGGATTTTTGAGCGGTGAAAGCCACTAGAGGGGAGATTTCCGCCAAAACGCGCGGCAAGGCTGCAAGAAGAATGGGGAGGAGAACTTCTCCTTTGATAGTTGGCCAAGGTAAGAGGAAGTGTAAGTACACTGCTTTACTTGCAGTATCAGCCCTGATTCAAAAATGAAAGTCACGAGAATAAAGTAAATGATCACCAGCTAAAGAAGGTCTTAATTTTTTACACAAATTCTCCTTTTCATCATCCTATTAAATGTATAGTGAACAGTATGGAGATTATGCATATTGATTTTAGGGTGTAAAGGGTTCAGGAGAATAGCAACATCTACATTTTGAACCGTGTCTCTCCACGAAAAATATTTCATTATTCTGTTTTCTTTCTTTAGAAACACTGGCTTATGTGTGTTCTGCTTGAGGCGGGTGGCATCTCAAGACGGTAGGAGCTCATGTGAAAATTAGTTCTCAATTTAACTCTTGTTGCCATTATTAACTTCAAGCGCCTTCAATCCACTTGAGTGGTGGGAGAAGAAACCTGGGTGAAATTAATGTAACTAAATAATCCATGATCTTGTTAGCATAATTGTTTTCAGTTAAGTTCACGCCATTGTTTTCTCCCACGCACTCTTAATTGCTTCTGCTCAAGAATTGACGCATAAATTAAACGAGATTGTATACCTCTTTTACGGCTGCAGATTCTTAAACCCTCATATTCTAATAGAGAATAGTTCAGTTTGCCAATGTTAAATTTCACGGTAATCAATCAAAACAAATGAAGAAATAAATGAAGAAATAAATGAATGAGTGGACCGTCAGACGGATAGTTTATTGAACAGATTATATGAGGCAGTTTGGCGTCTACATGCGTCATATAATCTTTTTTTTTTTAACTGTGGTTTCTTTTACAGAGCGGAGGGCCATCCTCCCCCAGACACCTACTATGTAGATCAAGTGAAAAACGCGCTACATCAGATAGAAGCCCTGGACATTCCCTCCGTTTGTGAATCAAGGTGAGGACATGATGAGGACATTGCTTCAAGAGTAGCTAACAAATTTATACAGCTGGCTTAGAAGGATGAAAGTGAAGCGAACCGTATTTTTATGTGGTTGTAACTGAAGCAAGTGGAACAAAATTCGAGCACATAACAAGAGGATTATTGCAAATGGCTCTGTTTTGAATGGTGCATAGTATCAATCTGTGAGAACGCAGCCGAAGAGGTTTTACATTGCAATTAGGGAGGGGAGAGAACACGGCCAAGGAAGGTCCGAGCTTCGACTTAGTTGTGTGAGAATTGTGAAATGGTTAAATTTCCGTATTTTGTTTATAGAGTTTTGCTCAAAACATGTCATTGGCGCGTGTTTTTTCACAGGTTGAGAAGCGTAAGCAATCCTCCTCTAGCTTCGGCAGATATGCTGCTGAATAACCCGCCCTGTTCATTGAAAACCTCATCAACTGCAGGTGGCTCAGACACACCCACTGCTCAGAAGAAGCACAACAATGTGGATAACTTACGGCTTCAAGGTACTATCGCATAACAGATGACAGAGATTTGAGGCCTAGTAGGACCCAACCTCTTTTTCAGGCTTCTCTTATTCCAGTCCCTCCGAGGTGATTAGGTACCTTGAGAACGTTAGCGAACGGTAATAAGGCCATGTGGAAGTATATTTGTAAAAAGTAGATATTTAAACCAAATTAGCTGCATACTCGAAAGAAAAGAGATACAAATGATGGCGCTTTCTTCTATTATTCCTTTTTAAGAATTTAAAAGTCAGGACAGACCGAAAAGGAAGAATAGCGTCGCATAGCTTCGGGCGCTTTATCAAGTGTCACTTTCTCGTCTATAATCGTCAATATTTAATGAATACTTTCGAATTTGCTTTACAGATGAAGTCGAGTCCTCCGACAGTGGTAGCGTTCCCTCGACACTCCGACGGAAAGGTTCGGACAGCTCCGGAAGCTTGGGTAGCTTAGGGACTAGAGGCAAACTAAGATCATTCCGGTCCCAGTTCTCTCTTAATTCTGCGGGAACGTTTAGGAAGAGCTTACCAGAAAATATACCTGATTTGTCGCAGATAGTAACAGCCAAGTAAGTGTTGATAAAAAAGGATGTGAACTGAGACGCTCTTGGAGCAATAAACGTACTTTCGATTTAGGACTGAAAAGCTTAGTACAACAACACGCATTTACACTCCTTTGAGATGGCAGGTTACTTCAGTGAGGTAATTTCCCAGTGTCTATAACGTGACCGTGAATCTACCAGTGTCAAGAATACCCTTAATCAGCGAGACACTTCATATGAGATCTGTACATGTCCATTTATATGTGAACTCTCCAAGCAGAAACTCAATTTTGCTGTACAGTTACAAACTATAGTGACGAAGTCTCTATCCAAATATAAGAGTTATTTTCAATTGTTGAGAGGATCTTTAATGAGGGCCTTCAGTTTTGAGACACGTCACACTTTTGTCATCCAAAGCAGAGCTGAGTTTTATCTATTCAAGCGTGTGATTGTACTTCAACATTGTTCGAAGGAAATTGAACTTAATTACCGAAAGGCAAAAGGGTTGCAAGTCTCTTCTCTCACTGAACGTCACGAGTTAAGTTCATCTTTGTCAACTTATCATAATCTACTCCGTTCTAAGGGGAAAAATTGACGCTTTGCGCCGAAAATTTTTACTTGTTTCCAGAATTAAAAGCAGGTGCAGAATTAATTTAAGTTCCTAATCTCTTTAGTGGAAATCTTTTCGTTGAGAATCATACCTGTATTTCCTCGTCCATTTGCACGTTTTCCGTTATCTTCGAGAATGGAAAAAATTTGTTATTTTAATAATAGTAGATCTTTCATTGACGTCCGCTCCCCCTGAAAAACTCAAGATCCCTCAGAAATACTAATGTTCAAATGTTACTCGATGTTTTTAATTATTTGTATTAATAATGGTAATAGGATTGAGTGGAGTCCAATCAGTCTTTAATCATACAAGTGATTACGAAATCGGATAGTCGCGAAGCGGGAGTCCGATTTGTCAACTGATCTTGGTATATCAGATTTGTCATTTGTTCTATCCGATTTGTCAATCTTTTTCTATCAGATTAACCGGTGGCACAGAGAACACGCTGTTTCATTACGTCAGCTGGGATTCATTCCAAGGTATTGTGGTGTGTCCAAGCGATGGAGACACGCCCTCCCCCAGTGGAGCAGTACACGCTGAGGTGGTGAACTCATTTCACAAAACATGTCTGTCCATACGTAGGTTGTTTTCGCCTTACTACAAACAGGTGAGTTGAACATCACCTTCCTGATTAAAGTTCTAACAGTGTAATAAACCTCAACGACCAGTGTTCCCTTCCCCAGTGATAATCAAATGTAAGGAACAGGACCCCGATGTAATGTTGCATGAACACCTGTTCCCAGTGCCTAGGTACTTGAATTTGTCTGAGTGTCTCACACTCAGAATTATAGCAATTTCATAATTAACCCTTTAATTGATAGAGTCACAGAAGTGATAGGCTTAGAGCTTTTCCTTTTAATACCTTATATTCTTATAAATGGGTCAAAGATCTTAAAAAATTCTCATTAGTTTATTCGTCCAGAGATAACGGAATTAAGATATGTTTATTTGTTTTATTTACAGCGCTTAAAACAGGATGGCAGCCGTTCTCGATTCATGTCTTCTGGAATGCAGAGAGTGGTTGAACATGGTGCACTCTTTCACAGGATTCCAGAGAGTTCCACAGATCAGAAGAAAGTTTCTTCTGTCCTAAAGTACTGGGTGATAGGGTACGTTCACAAACCTGACAAATACGAGAACTGATTAGGTTCTGTAAACAGATACGTCCTGGTAAAACCATTGACATTTCAACACGTATTGCTTTCATTGACATTTCAGCACGCCTTGTTTTAAAGTATAGACATCATATTTAGCTGTAAACTTTAGTAAAGTCAGTAAAGTCGCATTCGGTTCGTCATGCCTGCAAGTCCTCAAGTCTTCTTAGTTTTTGTGTAATTACCTGATCTGCTAACTAGCTTATCAATATTGATTAATGGATCAATTGATTGAATGACTTATTTGAGAAAAAAAAATAGGCCTCTTGTGCTATATTCGTATCTTCTTTTGATAGTTTTTTTTGGCAGTTAAATAATGAGAACAACTCTCTGCTCTTTAGGCGCCTTTTTCCAGGGGATCATCCCAAGGAGTTGTATGTGTGCTACCATCAGTCTGTACCCCAAAGTGCCGTGGAGCTGGCCTTCAAATTGGGCTTCGGTGTATGACCTTACGATGTGCCTTAGATTTCGTGCCAAATGGAAAAATCATGCTTCGTAAGTGTGACGCTGTTCAGTGATTTTCCTGGTTAAGAATGGCGGAACCAAGCCAGGATCAAAAGGAAGCTGTTTGAAGAATAAAAGGCTGGAAGACAAGGGAAGAAAGTGGATTGCTGGCGAATCGCTGAAAGAAACAAAAAATCTTAAATTGATGTTAAATGTTACGTTTTTTTGATGAGAAACTGTTTATATTAATCGCTCGAAAAGTCATAGCAATGTTGTGGCTTTTTGTTGTTTATTGCTTTGTTTTCGGTGTTTTTCTGTCTCGCAGGTTGCGTATAGCACTCGTTAATGTTTCAAAATGCGTAGTTGAGGCATCTTGATACAAAGGAAATCTTTGGCCAGGAATACGTCCCTCGAGAAAGATCAATCGGTTTGAAAATGTAGACAAAACCAAATTACGACTTCCAAATTATTGCCCTGAACTGGATATTCAAAATTTTGTTTGTTTGTTTGTGATTATTTTGCGCTGAATAATACTTATCCTTACATATCAAAAGGATTGCCAGGAGGGCAACAAAGTGTGAGCCTACGCAGTATAATGCCGCATGTAACTTCTGACCTCGTTGGTAAGAGAGGCTTAAGGGCCTGGAAACGAGAAAAGTTTGAACAGATGCTGGACGAGTGTTCTAAAGATTAGTAGGAATATTTGACGGAAAAGGAAACAGTGAAACACAATATGTACCTAACAAAGTTATTATTCTTATAGAAATTATAAAACCAAAACAAGTACATTATTTAATAAAATTTTTTTACTGGTTGAAAATGCGAAGAGCTCTTAGCCAGGTGCCTGCCGGAAATGTTTTTCTGCGGGAAAACATGGGGTCGCCGTGACGTGACTCAAAGAGGACGAAAGAAATAGATGCTGGCCGTGTGTAGTATGCAGATTTTTTTTCCTCAAACGTCAACCGTTTTTGGGTTAAGACTGTCGTCTTAAGAAAATGAAGGAAAACGTGCACAAGCTTCCGGTCTGAGTTTGTTACGTATTGAACAAGCACGGTATGGATTCTAGGAATTAAAAGTCTCAAAGATTAGCTTGGAGTAGTCTCCCTAAACTGCAAGAGGAAAAGTTATCTTTCAGTTAAACTTCTCTAGAAAGTAGTATTAAGTGTCAGAAAATATCGAAAACTGGTATTGACTCTTGAGAAAGGAGTTTGCATGTTGGATCGTGTGACGCTTTGTGATGAGATTTATATATCTGTAATAAAGTTCGGATATAACGCGCGCTGTAATTGATTGAAAGAGCGTGCTCTATCAGAGTATAGAAAATAGAGCAAGAGCTGAGCTACAGCTGTCACACCATCTGTCTAATTTTACTATGTCCAACCATTTCTCTGACTCTTCTCTAGCTTTTTTTCGTTAATTGAAGGTGAAATTTTGGAACAAGTGAGTCGGCAAATTGCGACAGAAGAACCAAACAAAGTTTTGTAAACATGCCAAGCGCCGTAATATTGTACGCTAATAACACGTGAGCAAAAACGAAAATCCTTAAAGAGAAAACGAAATGGACAGTCCGGGGTTTGAAGATTTTCACGCTTACTGTAGAGTGACAGCTTACGCATGGTATTAAAAATCAAACACAGCTAACACTCACATAGTATATACAGTTTCTTGTTCAAAAACAAAACAGAACAAAACAGGAATCATTAAAAATACATACTGGCTTAACTGTTAAAATCCATACTAATCATGATGACCTCAGAGCCGCAAGGATTGGGCTGAGGTCCATCGCAGCTGGCTCATCATGGCGATCTCCGGTCATCACATTGAAGCAAGCCCAAGAAATTATATCCGCTGCCTTTCGAGTGAACAAATAAAGGCTTGCTCTGATATCCTATCCGATACCTTGAGCGGAGATCATATTAGTCACAGAAGCCGAATTTACGGCGCTGTCATTCCGAGCTATCTTTATGTTCCTGTAAAACACACGCCTTGAGCAATCTTTTTTTCTAATCGTAATGTGAAAAAGCTCGTGTTTTTATGAGCTTCGATTCGGTCGGATTTCAATGAACATTTCACTCTTAGATTCCGTATTAGAGACCAAAAAACGTCAGGTAAAAGTGTTAAATTCGACCTGCCGAACTATTTCAGTTTGTAAACTAGTGCAGATTGTGATGGTTTGACAGCTTTAGCCTTGTACAGCTTACCAGATTTAAACCATTCTAACAAGGATTCTCATCGGCTTATTGTAGCGAGCTGACGACACTGTTGTTAGTTTTGCCGAAAATAAAGTTTGTTATGAAAATTAAAAAGTAATGTTTTGAAAATTTAACGGATTCTTTATTATAAAACAAATAGAGAAGCCTTGACTGTGTATCTGTCGGTGCTTCCAAAATTTTACCAGATCCAATCTGCTGGCCAGAAAATAATGTCTACTCTCGGTCCTCACTGACTGGATCCTCGCGTTAAATCGAGCCAGTAGAGATATCTCTTGGATTTCCGGGAGGTTTCCCTCGATAACTCGAACCCTTGATGCTCGCCCCTGTTAACGTTTTATTTTATTTTAATTTGTTTTGTTTTTGTTTTTGTTTTTTTTTTTTATTAGACACTAGGCCTCAATGCAGTCAAGTTTTCCTTGCATGTATCATTCATAAAACCTTGCTGCTACAATCCATCTCTTGTTTGCACCGTTGAACTATACTTCCCCCAGCTTCTCTTGTAAACAGCAGCACCATCCCACCCCAACCCCGCTGCCGTTAGTATCACTGAACTTTAATAAATTCAGTGAGACGGGAAAATGTTTATCACGGCATGACTGTTGGATATGATTGACAGTTGCTCAATTGAAAAGGTACACATGTATTCGTCAGTGTCACGTTTTCTCGACTTAAAAGGCCACCACTTTTTCTCGCGTGATATCTTACGCCTAAAGGGTTATTCGATTAGCCGTTTACACAACAAAGCATGAGTCGAATTTATCAGGAATAATAAGCCTGTAACCACGCCGTTGATCGATCCGTCAAGTCATCCAGTGTATTTGATAGTTTTGCCGCTTTGAGACCGCGGATTGGTGAAAAAGGAAGTTGCATTGCTGGTACACGAAACAGGAGTTTTGTACCGGTGAGCTCCTCACATTCTTTGAGATGGGTTTCAATCAATTTCTTAAATGCATAATTCATTTTGCAATAGTTACTTTGAGATGGGTTTCAATCAACTTCTTAAATGCATAATTCAGTTTGTAATAGTTAACTAGTTCATATCTTGATCATTTTCTGGTTATGTGACAAGACGTGTTTCATGCTCACTCGACCGTTCAGAGTTCTCGTGACTTCTAAGTAGAGTTTCATAACGTGAACATTGTGTTTGAAGTTCCACCCTGAGAATTTATGAAAGCCTGGGCTAAACAGAATTGAATCAATTTAATCGATATTCTCATTCTTAAAGACTGCTTTAAGCCACTTTTCAAATTCATTTCTCGTAACAGCTCATCAGAACGGAATGAAAAAAATGTAGGGCCAAAATAGCTTCTTAAAGCATTAAGAGTGTATCCACGAGAGCACTAGACAATCGTGCTACATGTCATCTCACCAATTTCAACGAAACTTTGCCAGTTTAAAGGGTCTACCCCAAAACTTAAAAAGAAACACTGGTTTCTGTTTCGGTTACTTCTGGGGGGAGGTAAACCACCCCCCCTAGCTCGGTTTTTCTTGGTTTTCACCAAGGAAATCGCTTCAAAATAGGTAAAATGTACGAAGATCTCACTGCTATGGTATTAAACCGATTACTCTGAAAAAATGTGAGAAACGTTCGAGATTCTTTGTAGGAATGAAAAATTTCACGTTTAGAGAGATGCATGAAGGCGAAAAATCGTAGCGTTTCTTTCTTCTGTCGTTTACTACTCTGAAGATTTGTTAGAATCAGCAAATATGTACGGAACAAAACATTCATTAGTCTATAATTTGATTGTTTATTATCATTATCGCACAGCTTAAAATAAGGAAACTGTAACAGGAGAGGAGATTTTAAAGTCACATGTCGCGTGCGTGTTGACGTACAAGTTCCCGTGTGTAACAACTTCGGCTTTTCCATACCGCTGTGGCTATATGGCCGGTAACTGTTCAAGGTGTTGAAAACACTAAACGGTCGGCAGTCCTATATTCTCAGTAAATTTCAGAGAATCGAAAAATTCGAATTCGATTCGTAAACCAAACACTAGACTTGAGATCTATAAAGCATTTCAAGATCGCTTGACTTTTCTAAATCGACGTAATAGTTTAGATTAGCCGGAACTTTTCGATTTTGTGAAATTTACTGAGAATTTAGGACTACCGGCCATTTAGTGTTTTGAAAACCTTGACCGGCAGTCGAGCTTAAAAAAGTTCTAAGTGTCACAAAACATGGTTTCGTCTTCTGAGCCCAGCGTAAACAAAACACTAGACTTGAGATCTATAAAGCATTTCAAGATCGCTTGACTTTTAGATTAGCTGGAATTTGAGCAGTATGTTTACTAATTGTACTGTGAAAAAAACTCGCGTTTTTCTATGAGCTTCGATTTGGCCGGATTTCACTGAACATTTCACTTTCAGATTCCGTATTAGAGACTAAAATACTTCAGGCAAAAGTGTTAAATTCAACCGCAAAACCATTCTGACAAGGACTCTGATTAGCTTATTGTAGCGTTCTTCATGGTGTACAATGTGCAATCTTTGGAGACACTGGGCAAATTGAAAGACGTCACTGGAAATGCAAGGAGTGTGCTCGACAAACTAAAGGGTGTAAAAGCAGACCTAGTGAGAGGACAAGTGGACTGGCAGGACTGGGACTTCCCACAGTTGATAAAAGCTTTGAAAAGTTGGAAGGAAATCAACCCCATTGGGAGCGGCGCGGATAATGCGGGGAAGCAAGGTGCTAAATTCCGCGATCGCGAGAAAACATTTCACGCAAACGAAACTACGCCAACACAAAGAGGGTGCGTCTACTGTGACGCAACTGACCACAGAGCTGTGAATTGCGACAAGTTTGTGACAGTTGGAGACCGCAGGAAGCAATTAGGACTGAAACAGCTTTGTTTTAACTGCACCGGAAGTCGACACCGTGCTTCTGAGTGCAAATGCCGTTCTCGCTGCCAGATCTGCAGTCGAAGACATCATACGTCGATCTGTGACAAACGTACATCGCGAGACCAGCTGATGACCACAACGAGCGCAGAAAGGAAAGGAGTGGTGTATCCTATGGTAACAGTTGACGTGAACGGTGTTAAATGCCGAGCATTGTTGGATACAGGAGCCGGAAGTTCCTACGCTTCATCAACGCTTCTGAACTGTTTACATTTGCGCCCTATCCGTCAACAATTCAAGGGCATTGAAATGATGTTTGGTACTTCAAACAAAGCGATAGACATCTATGGCCTACAAATTCGAAGCGTTGATGGTAAATTCACCTTGGAAACCGAAGTAAACAAAGTCGACCGCAAAGAGTTGTTGACATTGGAAAACCCAAAATGCGCAGAAATCGTAGCTCAGTTTTCTCATTTGAAGGGCGTAACCACAAATGATAACGACGAGAAAGCGATGTTGCCTGTTCATCTGATCCTTGGAACAAACGAGTACGCTAAGATCAAAACAGGGCAAGACCAAGAGTTGGGCGCTCTGGGAGAACCAGTAGCAGAATACACGAAGTTCGGCTGGACAGTACAGAGCATACGACACTGAGGACAGAAAATATCAGTCTGCCGGCCAGAAAATAGCGTCGACTCTCGGTAACTCGTGCTCTCACTGAATGGATCCTCTAGTTAAATCGAACCAGCAGAGATATTCACTGGATTTCTGCGAAATTACCCCCGATAATTCGAACCCTTGATATTCGCCCCTGCTAACGTTTCATTTTATTGTAATTTGTTTTGTTTTTCTTTATTTAATCACTACACACCAGGTCTCAGCGCAGTCAAGTTTTCCTTGCATGTCTTATTCATAAAACCTTGTTGCTACAATCCGTCTCTTGTTTGCACCGTTAAACTATATTTTTCCCTCTGCTTCTTTTATAAACAATAGCACCACCACCCACCTTCCCCCTTGCTTACCACGGCATAACCATTGCGGATATGATTGACCCTTCTTCAATTGAGAAGTTACGCATTCATTCGTCGGTGTCACATTTTCAGGGCCGCCTACAAGGTACTTCGATTTGTTGTTCACATAACAAAGCATGAGTCGAATTTATTGGGAATAATAAGCCTATAACCACGCCGTTAATCGATCGGTCAAGTCATCCAGTGTAGTTGATAGTTTTGCCGTTTTAAACCGCGAGTTGTTGATGACGGAAGTTTCACTGCTGGTAAACGAGACAGGAGTTTTGTACCGGTATGCGCCTTTCATTCTTTGAGATGGGTTTCAGTCAACTTTTTAAATGCATAATACAATGGAAATAGAGGTGTTCATAGAAATAAAGGTGCTCGTACGAATTTTACATAACCAAGGAAAGGGGAACAGCCATGCAAAAGGATCCAAAGGACCCAGAGTCGTTACGAAAATGAAAAGAAACCTTGTCAAGTGCTCTTTACAGGATCTATTAAGTTTTCACCACTGAGGATTGACAATAATTCGTCCCCGAGTGGCCTTAAACCACCAACCTTTCGGTTAACAGCCGAACACGCTAACCGATTACGCCACGGAGACTTTCTGCTGTTGAGAGATACGCTGAACTGAAAATTTCTTTTAGCAGCTTTTCTTTTGCGCCAACACAGTCTTCTTTCGTAACCCTCTCCACCCCAACATTAGTACATGTATGCGTTCTTTATAGATTTCCTTAGACAGACAAAGATCATTAAATGCATAATAAAAAGATCCGGTGTTTCATTCTGGGGTGATATCGATATTGCACGGAGAAATACGATGCTAGCCCTCCCACTCAGCCAATAAGTACTTAGTCTTGTAAAGTAAAAAACAAAACAAATCAATTGAAAAAGAAAGATTTGAGGTCGCCAACTTGATCAATATGCGCAACTTCTTTAGAGTAGACAGTTTTCTTCCGTGTTTAACAAATTAAAGACAGCTTTAAAACAAGTTTTAGCTTTGATAAATATAGAGTTTAAGACATGGGATAATTTAAAATTCGTTGGAAAGATCCGTATCTGCGCGCGGAGTATTACCTTCCAAGGTGACTTCTGAGCGGCAATTTGATAAAATGAGGTCATAACCAACCTTTGGCGGGCGAAAATCCTGCGAATAATTATTTCGGATAATTTTAAGGACGGACAGAGGAAATCTGACCGGCTGTAATTTGCTTTTTCAAGATATTCAACAAAGAAAAGCTTTGAAAATTCCACGGCAAAGTTATGGCGGTTTGTAAGAGCGCCGTGACACAGATTAACGTACCTACATAGACTAACGTGACATCTGGCTTCACGTCGCTCTAACTGCCTATTTCCTTAATTTTGGGAGTTTCGCTCATTTATCAGAACGTACTTTAACAACTTCCTCAGGCACTTTACAGTTCCCATTATCAGACTGAAACAGCTTTGGATGTAGAGGAAAGAAACTCATTCCGGGAAATACAGTGATTAACGACGGTAAACCAAAATTAACGTTGTGCATGGTTAGTCCTTGTATGTCGTAAAATATACAATTTTACCCCTTTTACTATTTATTTATGTCTCAAAATCAATACCATGACACCACGAGTGAAAAGATTAGAAGGACAAAGTAATGATCTATGATAAAGACTTGGGGTTTTGAAGACATGATTGGAAGAAAACAACTAGGACATATTCAAGTCTGATTAGGGGAGACTGAAAGCTATGTAATGAACTGGGACCACCTTGCCACGATTTCCGCGAATCTCAGAAACCGATGGTAATATGTATTTTTCCATAAAAACTAGTGACTATTGCGTGATGAACTCTATTGCCCGTATTGCAATGATTTTATTTCATAATCCATTTCTTGAACTTATATTTGCGGACCCCTTTAGTCTGACCTCTCATAATTCCGGTATTTCCCTCTAACTTGCAATGTTAGTTAAATATTAACAACAAACCTAGGTTAGCGCAGAAGTCCCGGATTGAGTTGTATGCGTCACTATTCCCACAACTTTCGATTTGGAATCCTCTGACGTTATTCAAGGGATATTTTACGTTATAAGGGTGCCGAGATCTATCTTTTACATAACAGAGCATTGAGCGAAACCATTGGCAGTAATAAGACGTAACGTGGCCGTGATTTGTGAATTGGTTACAATATATTTGACTGTCCTTCCGCTTGAAGACTAAGAACCGCTGAAACTGAAAGTTGAAATTCTGGTGATCGAACGAGACGTTCTATTCCCGGTAAGTGCCTCGGCTTGTTTGCGTTTTCAGAACTTACTCATCGTTAGGTTATGAAAGTCTTAAATTCAAACTAAGTATGGCTAGGATATGAAGAGCTGGTGTTGTGAAGCACTCCTCAAGCATCATAGCGTGTTACATGCAGCTTACCCGACTGTTTAGAGTGCCCACGACTTCAACGTAGTTTGTGTGTTTTATTCTTGAAGAAACTCACATTCTACGAATTGGAACTATGCACACCTAAACTAAGAACTGAATTATTTAAATCCTTTCGCTAATTCTAGTAAATTAGTATTGTAAAATACTACGGTTTTAGTTGCTATAGACAGTTTCACTGCCCATAGCAACTAATCCGTGAGGAATTTAGAAAGAATTGAAGGAATGAAAATTCCATTTAAGGGTGCGCGAAAGGAAATATAAGATTGGACGCGTGGAGATTTGGAACTGAGGAATTGTAGGAGCGTGGAAGAATGGTACCAAGGTGATGAATTATGAAAGCGAAGAGGGTTGGAGGGGTGAAAGTGTAGTAATAAGTTTGTTTGCTCTTTTGAAGTGAGAGGATGCAAAATTTTAGAGGTCTATAACTTTGACTGAAGTTGGGAAGTGAAGAGCTGAATTTCAATTTGGAATGCCGAATATCTGGCCATATTCAAAACTCAACAGCCAACCAACAGCAGTGCATCACTATATAGAAACAAAACAAATCGAAAGCTAATAGAAAAAATTGAAAATGAAGGAAAGAAATGATGATGCACGAGAAAGATATTTCTTAACCAGTAGAAGAAAGCTATCAGAGGGATATTTCAATTCCAGGTATTTTGTAAAAGGATTTTCAACGAGTTACATTGCGGAAATTCCAAGATGTTAGATGCACCTTTAAGGTTACTGTCAAAAACAAAGTGCTCTTCGAAAAAATCGTCCTACGCACGCTTCTTCAAAGAAAAGAATAGAAAACCGTAAATCACTTTAAAGCCTACAAAGTATATACTCTGAAAATAACAACGTCTTAACAGGCAAGTGCAAGCCTTTAAAGACAAACGTACGGTGTTTGGTTAACTAAATTACTGGCTAGTGAGCTTCTTCGATTTTACCATCGCCTCACGAGAAAATCTGTTTTGAAGTTGGACAAAATAACTCGGTTGTCGTCACGCATCGGGATGTCACTGGAAAAATATTTCGAATTTCTTAAAATTAAAGCCCCGCACTCTTTCGTGCATTAATATCTGACGAGTATTCTGTTGCGAGATCAACGCGAATAAAGGAATGGCATGGCCAAATTATATAGACGGCTTAGTCTTCCTTCATTAAATTTAACACCCTAAACATCAATATTTTTAGCCAAATGATAACGGTCTAGTTGCCTATGTCGAGTTAGAACATGAAATTGTGAAATGAAGTAGCTCAATTGCGAATAGCTTAGCATTCATTTGCAATATAGCACACAAACGGTGTAGCGTTGCATGAAATAGCTCTGCGTAATGTCAAATGGTACGGTGTACACGAAAACGGTGTAGCGTTGCTTGAAATGGCTCAGCGTTATGTCAGATGGTGCAGCGTACACACAAATGGCGTAACGTTACGTCGAATAGCTCTGCAGAACATCAGACGCTCAAGCTGCACATTAAATTGCTTAGCATTACACGAAATATTTCGATGTCGTAGCGAATCGTCGAGCTTGCTTGTGGCATGATGTGAAGGCTATCTTGCCGAAACCACCAGAAATAAAAACCGCAAATGGAACAGCGATCTGCTAGAGGGCATGACGTCTTCGAATGTAAAGATTGACGCGAAACCATTATGCACATGGTGTAGTCGCTGTTTTGAAGAGTCTTCACTTCGCCTTGTCGTTAAGCAGAGCCAATTCGTAACTTTTTGGTATGTCCTCTTTTTTTCCCCTGGCGATATTGCAATTATTCGTTGTTGTTCATTTGGTATGCCAAGAATAGTGTTTGCAATTAAAGCATTCCGATATCACTTTGATTGAAAAATGTCAAAAAACAGATCAAGGATATTAGTCTTGACATTATTCGGAATATCGGAATGCTTTAATTGGTGTGCCAAAAATAGTGTTTGCAATTCAAGGCCTGAGCCGATCGTGCAAAATTGCACGATGACTTTGACCTTTTCGGAAATGCTCGTATTACATCCGATCGCTCTGAAATTCCGGCTGTAGCATGTAAACATTCTAAGCCAATCACATGGCGAGTTTTAGCTCCAAACTATCAAACGTGACCTCGGGAGCCCGTTCCGAAAATCATTTGTGTACGATTTCAATCTGCGACAATGGCGCCCGATGCGAAACGCTAGAGATACAGCGTAGCTAAGGCTCTAGAGATGATTTTTGACGATGGAAGTGAGCATGGTGGTATGTCTAGTGGTGAGGAATCCGAATTAGATAGAAAACTGGAAAATCCTAGCGAAGAATCGAGGTAAGTAATCTGTAAACATTCTTGCGATATTTAAATGCGTGACGCATGTGGTGTTGAATCATTTACTTTTACTTTTCGCGCACGAATCTTTGTTTTTTTGCCTTGAGACAAACCTGTAAATGTATATTTGTGAATGTAAAGCAATACATATGTGATCAAACATGATTTTTAAGCGACAGAGTAAATAATCTTCAATGGAATGTTAGAACGCAACGGCCTAAATTATCAGCCGATGACAGATATGACGCAGAGTGCGTCCGAACTAAATCAAATAAAATCTTTTATTTTTGAAACGATAGCTGTATATGTATCGACCTGTATATTATCTTATATGTTTTGTATGTTTTTTAGATGTGGTTCCACTTGTTACATGCCGAAAATTCACAAAAAAAACAAATTATGCTCAAGAATGAGTGGAATGATATAAAATTACAGTTTCCGGTATCACTTCTGAATTGTTTTACTCTTGCAAAATACTGGTGGTGCATTGCAAGTGAAAGGCTTTCGATATATGTTGCGCTTTATGTATTTGAGGCAAAAGGAAAAATTTCAGAAGTCAAGCAAAGAAACATAGTTCCAATGGTTGCACTGTAGACTACAAGAGGGATTAGTAAATTTGGGCTTGGGGTGATGATGAGGTCAGACTAATTAGTCAGTATTTTAATCAGTGTTCACTAAACATGTGTAACACATACCAGATTTGTTAGTTTCCAACCGATTTTTATGGAGATGTTGCCCATATAACAAGGAACCTCTTAAGTTTATTTTTGCTTCATTACTTTATATTATTTGGGTATCACTTAATTCACAGTTCAAATTTTGATGATATTTTATTCTATAAATTAATGTCAGTTTGAAAGCATTCAATGAGGTTGTTTCCTTTTTCTTGGAGAGGAAACATGCATTTCAGGAAAGCTTATTTACTGCTGTTTCAAGTGAGGTATAGCTTACTTACCTTGTGTAAATACTTGGTGAGGAATAAATTTTTCAATAATCTGGGTCAATTTTTATGGTTTTGGGGTACAGTTTGGAAAAAAATTCTAATTAATTCTGCATTTGTTCTTTTTCAGCCAGATTCTCTGGATGTCTTGCCCATAATATAAGGAATGTTTTATCAGGGAAATTTTTCCTTGTAACTCCATTCCATTCAAGCCCAGGCTATTTCAAAGTCAAAAATTGTCAGATAATTTATGCAAATTGTATGCCATTTTCTTAGCATGATTTAAAATACATGGAGTTTTAATGGCAAAATATTTTTTTTCTTCAAAGCTTTTTTTGTCCTCTTTCAAATGAGATATAGCACAACTCACTGGTGTAAATACTGCTGACAAAAAAAAGAAAAGAAAAAAGTTGTCGTCACTTGCCATTTTTTTATGTCTACTATAAAGAGTGTATCCACTAGAGCACTTCATAGCTCTTTATACGGGATGATTGATTAAGAAAGCTGAAAAAGTGTGAAAAAAGTTTGAGGTTTTTTGAAGGAATGAAAACTTTCACGTTTAGAGAGATGCATGTAGGCGAAAAATTGATGGGGAAAATCGTAGCGTTTCTCTCTTCTGTCATTTACTGTCTTGGAGATTTGCTAAAATCAGCAAATAGGACTTTTCTACGGGACAAAACATTCACTAGACCCTGTGAGTAGGGTAACTGGGATACCTGGATGGTACTGGATCCTTGGAATCAAGTGAAGTGATACTACGGGTGTCGGACTAGTATACTGATATAGTGAGCTCAAGTCTGGTGCTATGCATGCAAGAGTTATTTTTTGTAAGGTGGGTGGATTACTTGAAACATTGTAAGTGGTCTACATTCATACAAAAGGAAAGAAGATTATTAACGCGGAAAAGAATAAAAATGTCGAATTACCTCACACGCAGGTATTTTGTGGTAGATTATGTGTGTTGTGCAAATAAATGTAACCAAAAATAAACTGTATTGGTGCCACGGAAACCTGTTAGTACAAAATGCAGACAGCAGACTTCAGACCGGATATAAAATATAGACTGCAGACTGCAGAGTGGGTATAAAATGCAGACTGAGAATCTGAAGACTTCTTACGTCTGATAGATAATAATATGTCATCTTAAAGCTTACCGAGCGTCACGCAATCGCTTTCCCGCGATCAGCCTTCACGATTATTTGCACTATTGTGGAAAATTCCTGGCCCATTTCTTGATGAAAATCGATCGCAATATAATTTCAAGCCTTCAACATAGTCTTCTTACTTTGCGCGCGAGTTGGTTGGTGTGATGTCTACAAATTTTACCAACGTAATAAAAGTATATGACGTGAATAACAGTGATGGTAAAGCACGCTTAAAACGGCAGAAATCGCCAGAAACTACAACGGATACACGGGATATGAGTAAGTTTTATTGCTTTAACGAGAAAAATCTTAATATTTCGAAATATTTATCATTGTAAGTCGGTCATATTTCGTTCCCTATATTATTCCTAAAAACATTTTAAATCTTCAACGGTTCCTCTCGTAACTTAACACCTAGTCACACAACGCGTGACGCGTTTATGAATTAATCATTGGCTTTTTCGTTGGCTTTTTTGTTGGCTTCTTCTCGAGGCGTGAGCTTGGGCCGTCTGTGACCACAGGCGACCCAAGCTCACGTCTCGAGAAAAAGCCAACGATGAATCCATGAACGCGTCACGCGTTGTGTGAGTCGGTGTTAAGTGACGGGAGGAACCGTTGAAAATTTGAACACGTTATAAGGAATAGTATGGGGAACGAAATATGGTCGATTTACATTTGTGACATGACATTTGTCAAAAAGACATGGATAACAGTGATGGTAAAGCAAGCTTAAAACAGCAGAAATCGCCAGAAACTACGACGGAATCACAGGGCATGAGTAAGTTTTATTGATTTTACGTGTAGAATATTCATATTTCGAAATATTTATCGTTGTAAATCGACCATATTTCGTTCCCCATACTATTCCTTATAACGTGTTCCAATTTTCAACGGTTCCTCCCGTAACTTAACACCGAGTCACACAACGCGTGACGAGTTCATGAATTCATCGTTGGCTTTTTCTCGATACGTGAGCTTGGGCTGCCTGTACTGTGACAAGACAATTGCGTAAACAATACTTGAAACTAGACCCTGTGAGCAGGGTAACTGGGATACCTGGTTGGTACTGGATCCGTGGAATCAAGTGTGGTGATACTACGCGTGTCGGACTAGTATACTGAAATAGTGAGCTCAAGTCTGGCCAAGGGCATACACCTGTCTCAAAACATAGGCATGCTATGCATGCAAGAGTTATTTTTTCTAGGGTGGGTGGATTACTTGAAACATTGTAAGTGGTCTACATTCTTACAAAAGGAAAGAAGATTATTAACGCGGGAAAGAATGAAAATGTTGAATTACCTCACACACAGGTATTTTGTGGTAGATTATGTGTGTTGTGCGAATAAATGTAACCAAAAATAAACTGTATTGGTGCCACGGATACCTGTTAGTACAAAATGTAGACAGCAGACTGCAGACCAGATACAAAATATAGACTGCAGAGTGGGTAAAAAATGCAGACTGAGAATCTGAAGAGTTTTTACGTCTGGTATATAATAACATGTCATCTTACAGCTTACCGAGCGTCACGCAATCGCTTTTCCGCGATCAGCCTTCACGATTATTTGCACTATTGTGGAAAATTCCTGGCCCATTTCTTGATGAAAATCGATCGTAATATAATTTCAAGCCTTCAACATAGTTGGTTGGTGTGATGTCTGTACAGATTTTACCAATGTAAAAAAGTAGATGACGTGAATAATAGTGATGGTAAAAGCAAGCTTAAAACGGCAACAATCGCCAGAAACTACAACGGATACACAGGGTATGAGTAAGTTTTATTGATTTTTCGAGAAAAATCTTCATATTTCGAAATATTTATCGTTGTAAATCGACCATATTTCGTTCCCTATACTATTCCTTATAACGTGTTCAAATTTTCAACGGTTCCTAAAATAACTTACTCTGAGTCACACAACGCGTGACGCGTTCGTGAATTAACCGTTGGCTCTTTCTCGAAACGTGACCTTGGGTCGCCTGTGACAAGACAATTGCGTAAACAATACTTGACATAATAACATTATACACAAAAAACACGGGATTTTGGATCATGTATTCATTAAAAAAGAATATCCATACAACTACAATGAAAACAAACATAAGATTCACCTTTCTGATCGTGAAATTAATACCATTCGCACTGTTATCGTAGCTACGTTCCCTGGCATCAAGTGAATCCAACATGGCGTCTTTCTTCACTAGCAGTTTGCATCCATTTGAATTTTGTTCTTCAGTCTCACGGTAGTAGTGTTGTTCAATAGATTGCATAGAGTACATGCAGTTTGGTTTCAGATTTCAGATTTTGCTTTTTACAACGAGTTTACGTTTTCAGCTAAGACATTGGCTTACTTGGCATACAAGACATACAAGGCATTCAATGCTTTCATGGCTTTCAAGCGTTCGCGATTCTGTCCGATCCAAAATTACCGCTTAATAACATCTTTTTGTGTGGATTGGCCTCGAACAATACGACTTGTGTATGCGTCTATAAGTATTTTGAGCGTTTGCCCGATAATGCTCCAGATGATCGTAATCCAATTACGTTGAAATACAAAACGACCGACAAAATAGTTTTATGGGCAAAAATCTCGTGTTCGTCATGTGACCCGGCCCTGTCCGTGCATGACAACGTCAATCATCATCAAGATAGCACGCGTGATCAGCACGTGAACACCTCATTGGATCACAGTTAGTTGTCATGGTGTTGAGGGCCCAATGACCTCTGGGTACTATTGCGCAATTTTTCCATTTTGTGGCGGAGGAAAAAAACAAAAAAAAATAAAAAATAAAAAAAAAAAAGACGACAAAGAAACAAAGGCATTTTATGAATGGGCTACCACAGGTATCCCAGTAATTAGTCTATAATTTGATCGTTTATCGTCATTACTGCTCATCCTGGGGGATTTTAAAGTCACACGCTACGTGTTGGTTGACAATATGATATGCTGTGGCTCTATGTCCGGTGACCGGTCAAGGTGTTGAAAACACTAAATGGCCGGTAATCCTATATTTTCAATAAATTTTACAAAATCGAAAACTTCCACTTAAGGGCGACCCTAAAAGCAGGAACGCTGGAATGGCTGAATGGTGGAAAATGACCCCAAATCCTAAAATACGGAACGGCGGAAAATGACCCCAAATCCTAAAACACGGAACGGATGTCAGGGCATGTTGCACAAATTTTGTACAAAAACACTCAAGCGCTTGGCTCATTCATCCCCACGACGATAACGCGCGGAACTAAAATTAAGTGTTATTATTTTTTTTTCTTTCACCGAGTGGTATGAATAATAATGAACCATTATGCATAAAAGATAGCTGCGTTTTTGCGTTGTAAACCTGTTTAGTTACCTTTTGTTATGCTAAAATTGCCATGAGTTTTAGTCGCGGCATAAAAAGTCGCACAGCATGTGAAAACCAACTTGACATACCACGTTACAATAAACAATTGTAACTGTAATTGTAACTAACCCTAATCCTAACCCTAACCCTAACCCTAACCCTAACCCTAACCCTAACCCTAAGCTGATACGTTTCCTGGTCACGTCTGCATTGATTTATCGAAACAATAATATCTCATATGCTTGTAAATGTGAGAACATCACAGGAACGTTTTCAGGCCTCTCAAAATATGACAACGTTCAGCCCCAGCTCCAAACTTAGACTAGCGTGAGAGCAAGCCCTCGTTACGAGCCCTTCAATACGAGCGTTTTTTCATCCACGAATAAGTTTTGGGACTTGAGTAACACTGGGTGAAGAGAGATTAGCTGGGTGTCACGCGCGTGGGAATTTCTCATGGCGTGAAAAGAAAAAAGAAAGTTAGCAGAACGAAGCCGTCAAGAAGAATTTGAAGAATTTCTTCGCGACCAGGTGTCCAAAACACTACCATCCTACGGTGAAATTTACGGCTTACATATCAGCGGAAAAAAATAAACTTTCTGGAAAAAAAAGAGGCCATTTCACCAATTCGTTCAGCGGATTTCTTCTGTTCCTCAACAAATTGCAAATCGTCAACTCTATGGCGTTTAAATTGCCCTTCCTGAAAGGGAAGTGTAATTCAGACGGATCTTTGGATTGTCATGGTTTACCATTATTCGCATGGAAGCAGTTGCGAGACAAACAAGAGGCTATCGGTCGAGGATCCTATGATTTGGTTTGTGCGACATAGCCATTCCACCGTTCCTGCTTTTAGGGTCGCCCTCCAGTTAATCTAAACTATCATATGTCGATTTAGAAAAGTCAAGCGATCTTGAAATGCTTTATAGATCTCAAGTCTAGTGTTTGGTTTACGCTGGGCTCAGAAGTTGAAACCATGTTTTGTGACACTGAGAACTTTTTTCAGCTCGACTGCCGGTCAAGGTTTTCAAAACAGGCCGGCAGTCCTATATTCTCAATAAATTTCACAAAATCGAAAAGTTCCAGCTAATCTAAACTATCATATGTCGATTTAGAATAGTCAAGCCATCTTGAAATACTTTATAGATCTCAAGTCTAGTGTTTGGTTTACGCTGGGCTCAGAAGACAAAACTATGTTTTGTGAAACTTAGAACTTTTTTCAGCTCGACTGCCGGTCAAGGTTTTCAAAATACTAAATGGCCGGCAATCCTTTATTCTCAGTAAATTTCACAAAATCGAAAAATTCCAGCTGATCTAAACTGTCTAAACGATTTGGAAAAGTTAAGCGATCCTGAAATGCTTTCTAGATCTTAAGTCTAGTGTTTGGTTTACGAATTTTTTTTTTTTTTTAAATTTATTGAGAATATAGGACAGCCGCCCATGTAGTGTTTTCAACACCTTGACCGCTTACCGGCCAGCAGCGGTATGGAAAAGCCGAATTTGTTACACACGGGAACTTGTACGTCAACACGCACGCGACACGTGACTTTAAAATCTCTGCTCCTCTTACAGTTTCCTTATTTTAAACTGTGCGATAATTATAATAAACAGTAAAATCATAGACTAATGAATGTAATGTTCCATACGAAAGCCATATTTGCTGATCCTAGCAAATCTTCAGAGTAATAAACGACAGAAGAAAGAAACGCTACGATTTTTCGCCTACATGCATCTCTCTAGAGGTGAAATTTTTCATTCCTACAAAAAATCTCGAACGTTTTTCACATTTTTTCAGAGTTATCGGTTTAATACCATAGCAGTGAGAGCTTCGTACACTTTACCTATTTTGAAGCGATTTCCACGGTGAAAACCAAGGGGGGTTGGTCTATCTTCCCCCGGAAATAACCAAGACAGAAACCAGTTTGTCTTTTTAAGTTGTGGAGTAGACCCTTTAAACTGGCGAAGTTTCATTGAAATCGGTGACATGTAGCACGACTGCCTGGTGCTCTCGTGGTCACACTCTTAATGGAGTGCACACGTAGAATTATGGAACTTGAGGAGAGTTGTGTAAATGTGAAGTGGAGAAGTCTGAAGGAGTAAATCGAAGTGAGGAAGTTCAGACACGTGTAAGTGCGAGTGTGATCTTGACGTTTTGAAGTTTTTAAATGATGAAAAAGAAAAATCTAAGTTCTAAATGAGATAGGTTTCAATCAACTTTTTAAATGCATAATTCAGTTTGTAATGGTTAACTAGTTCGTATCTTGATCTTGGCCTGGTGATGTGACAAGCTAAAACATGTTTCATGCTCACTCGACCGTTCAGAGTTCTCGTGACTTCTAACTAGAGTTTCACAGCGCGAAAATTGTGTGTGAAGTCCCACCCGGCGAACTAAAGCCGTGCAAGCCTGTGCCAAACAGAATCGAATCATTTTAATCGATATTCTCATTCTTGGAAGATTGTTTTGAGATGCTTCTCAAATTTATGCTTCGTTTCTCGTAACAGCTCATCAGAATGGAATGAAAAAAAAGTAGGGCCAAAATTGTACCTTAAAATTTTAGTGGAGTGGACGCGTGCAATTATGGAACTTAGGAACTTGAGGAGAGTTGTGGAAATGTGAAGTGGAGAAGTATGGAGGAGTAAATAGAGGTGAGGGAGTTGAGACACGTGTAAGTGTGAGTGTGGTCGTGAGGTTTTAGAATTTTTAAATGATGAAATAAATAAAGATTTGAGGTCTAAATTAGAATGGTGGGAGAAAAGTTAAAAGTTACCAATATACTTTGGGTGTATGAAAGTGTTGACGAGATAATAACTTGAAATAATTCAATCGAAGACAAAACAGGACATGAATTAGAAAGGAAGAAGCTTTAATGTAAAGTAATGTAGAAGTTTGGAAGTATGGAAAAAAAGTGAAAAGTGTGAGGATAGAAATTCTCTAACTGTGGATTTAAAAACATCTGGAAGTTTTAAAGTTTGCTCTGGTATCCTTTCCGATGCTTTGAGTGTAAGGCTACATGAGTCACAGCAGTCGTGTTTTACAGCTCTGTCATCCAGAGCTATGTTCCTGGAAAACACACGCCTTGGGCAGTTTGTTTACTAATTGTACTATGAAAAAAACTCGCGTTTTTTATGAGCTTCGAATTGGCCGGATTTCACTGAACATTTCACTTTCAGATTCCGTATTAGAGACTAAAATACTTCAGGCAAAAGTGTTAAATTCAACCGCCAAACTATCTCAGTTTGTAAACTATTGCAGATTATGAACTTTATCGATGGTTCGATATTTTTGACAGCTTGAGTCTTGTTCAGCCAACCAGATTATTTGAACCATTCTGACAAGGACTCTGATTGGCTTATTGTAGCGTGCTTTATGAGAGTACAGAGCATGCTGACGACACTGAGGACAGAAAATGTCAAACTGCTGGCCTGAAAATAGCGTCGACTCACGGTAACTCGTGCTCTCACTGAATGGATCCTCTAGTTCAGTCGCACCAGCAGAGATATCCCCTGGATGTCTGCGAAATTACCCTCGATAATTCGAACTCTCGATATTCGCCACTGCTAACGTTTCATTTTATTTTAAATTGTTTTGTTTTTCTTTATTTAATCATTACGCATCAGGTCTCAGTGCAGTCAAGTTTTCCTTGCATGTCTTATTCATAAAACCTTGCTGCTACAATCCGTCTCTTTTTTGCACTGTTAAGCTATATTTTTCCCTCTGCTTCTCTTATAAACAGTAACATCAACACCCCACCTCCCCCCTTGCTTACCAGGGCATAACTATTGGATATGATTGACAGTTGTTCAATTGAGAAGTTACGCATTTATTCGTCGGTGTCACATTTTCAGGGCCGCCTATAAGGTACTTCGATTTGTTGTTTACACAACAAATCATAGGCCGAATTTATTAGGAATAGTAAGCCTGTAACCACGTCGTTCATCGATCGGCCAAGTCATCCAGTGTAGTTTATAGTTTTGCCGCTTTAAACCGCGAGTTGTTGATAACGGAAGTTTCAGCGCTGGAAAACGAGACATGAGTTTTGTACTGGTAAGCGCCTCATATTCTTTGAAATGGGTTTCTCGTAACAGTTTATCAGTGTGGAATGAAAAAAAAATCTAGGGGCCAAAATAGGACTTTAAATTATTTAGAGGAGAGGACGCGTGGAATTATTGAATTTAGGAACTTGAGGAGAGTTGTGGAAATGTGAATTGGAGAAGCATGGAAGGGTAATTAGAGGTGAGGAAGTTGAAACGAGTTATTTTTTTTTAACTGAGTTGGTCGAAATGGGACACTTTGTGTTCCTGATGTTTTCGTAACTTTCAAAAGAACGAAGTTTTCGCATTATTTCATTTGGAGAGAAAGAGAAAAACATAATTTATCTAAACTTACACAGGTATTTTGTGGTTTATTTTCTATATTGTCTGACTACTCCTGAGCAAAAATAAAATACATCGGTGCCACGCTTACTGTAGTCTCCCTTGCAGCTGTTGTTTGGTCTTGTCACATAACGCCCTCTATTCCCTGTTGGAGAGAAAGCCATTATTGCGTAACGAGACCAAATAACGGTTGCGGAAGAGACTACGCTTACAGCCGTTCCTCTGGCAGAAAGAAAATCAAAATTATTCGTATACAGTTAGTCGCTTCAAAAATATAATTCCACGTAATTTTACTGCGACAAGCAGACTAAAATTGTTGTATCTCCAATAGACCCTATCCAAAGATATATTGCGATCTCGTTCGGGGGAAGATATACTGAGCGAGAGAAAAGGATAATATTTCAAAGAGGGCTCCTTGATTGGTTGTTGTGTATCTGGACTTTGCCCTCTGTGTGTGGAATACGTGGTAAAATGCTGGTTGTTTGCAAAGGAATTAACACGTAATCGGGTAGCTAAAAGCGAATTTTATCGGTAGAAAATGTCACAACGCGGGAGAATGAGTGGAAAATTCACTATCAGTAACAAATTTTTTTTGAAAATATAAAATGTAACAAACCAACTATTGCAAGGGAAAGACTTTGAATAAGAACTATTCAAAAATATTGTCGAAACCAAATATGCTTCTGTCATGAGCTACCATTGTTCTTATCTTTCCGTCAATTAAAGCTATCTTCTATCCTCTAGGTGTTAAGTGAACTTGTGAGTTAGAAGGCAAAAAACAAAGCATGACTTCGTCGCCCGGGACAAACGCAGAACAACGACGGTGGTTGGTGGTTGGTATTGGTCTCAACAGAGTCCTCATGCCGTATCTCCGAAATAAGATTCAACAGGAAATGAAACCATTTTACCAGCATCTGCTGGCAAATTGTGGATTAGACAAGCAAACCTTTTCGACTCACCTGAGGACCATTCCACCGAGCACCTTGAAGCTGAACTACGAAAGTATCAACAATAACGCCACTCTGGGTCGAGACACACGTCTCTTTGACTATCGTGTAAAGGATGAAGTGTCATTGGCAAAGTTGTTCATGAAACCTTTCATGGCACATTTCAATGCATTTGATTCCTCATTTGATGCCTCAGCGGCTCTGGCTGTCCTTTGCTGTGCTCCGCTATTCAGCGCTGCAGCGCTGTCAGCTGAAGTTGTGAGATCTGAAGTACGAAATGAGTGGGCCCATTGCGACTATGCGTCATGGACGGAAGTGAAATACGATACATGTTTTGATCAAATGAAGACCTTGGTTAATGACCTGGGATTTGCCCCAGCAGAAACCACAGAGCTCCTGGCTGAGCTGCAGTTGTGGAGGAAGAATGGTAAGATTTCATTACACATATCTAAAGAAATATGGCTTTGTCTTCCCCTCTAGCCAAGGAGGTCCTACCAAAATTGTATCTTAAGGTCGATAGAATACGCTGGCTGTTGAAGAGATGTGGGTTGCAATTTCAACGTAGACATTCATGAACCGAATAGAGATCATAAATTCCGAAAAATCGACAAATGTTCATCTAGTGCGAACCAAGTATGACTACCTTATGTGAAACACAGACCAATGAAACGAAACGAGACTTCCTTATGCTCTTAGTTTGTATTGCTTTACATAGAAAGCATAGACTTGAGCTAAGTTGTCACACCTTTGACAGTTTGATCTTTGTACATGCATATGCTAGTACTCTGTGGAACTCAAACTGGTGATTTCCGTTGATTCTAATCGCTTCCATAGCGCTTAGTATCGTTCAGTTAAGATCAATTTTTCTTTAAATCGAAAAAGTGAGCACACGCGCCCGCTGTCCGCGCGTTTTCTCCTACTACGATTCTGGCAAAACACAGGCAGGCAATCACATGGGTTTGAGGCTGCGTGATGTGAAAAGATTATTTATCTCTAACTTTCGCTTTAACTGCCAACATTCGATGTCATTTTGATTCAAGTGATCGAGGGAAATGTCTCATAAAGCGTACAATTTGCAACTTTTGATTATTTACTTTCAGTTTTTTGTGTTGTCCGGTAACGTTTGCAGGAAAGATAATTTCCCCCTTCCCTTTCAACTGGCACTCCTCAAAAACAAAATCATCGAGCCGTGCATCTTCCAAAACCACTCAAGGCTGAAAAAGCTCAAGAACTTCGCCAAACCTCTTTCACTTTCAAATATCACTCCCCACCTACTTTCAAGAATGTTTAAGGTCGATTGTTGTCCAATATCGATGCGACAAATCATTACATCTATACACTTCTCCAAACGCCTCAAAAGCCTACTCTATTTTCCTGCTTCGTTAACAGTTTTGCCATCGATACAAGATGTGGAAAGAAGAGGTCAATTAACACTTCTGGTATCAAAATAAATCAATTAATCGAGCTCATATTTCCAGGCTGGTGACAAAACCATCACCCGAACCTCTCCCTCACCGGTGTACATGTGTCGTAGAAAAGGCGGTCCGAAACCAAACTTTTGAGAAACAATTTTCTCGCTGAGGGGAGGAGGGTCGCGTGATTCTTTTGTCGTTGGTGAAGGGAATCTGTCCGTTGTAAATTCCAGCGAACGTAAGAGGTCAATAACGTTACGCGGCCTCAAACCCATATCATTATCTGCCTGTGGTTAACTTTTGCTTGCCAGCAAAGGGAATTCATAAGGTGAGTCAGTCCACGGTGAATCAAGGCTGTCTGGCTAAATCACTCGATTCCTACAATCCACTCATTAGTGCCGCAATTTGGGTCAACCCTCTTCTCAGTGAGAATTATTCAATTTTCCATTGAACTAGTCTCCTCGGCCAGTTTCGTTTAATGAAAAGTGACGTTAGTCTTAAGCTCACGTAGAAGATTACTGGTCTATTACTAGCTCACTAATTGCTTGTTTGGTCATTTTTTGTGAGTAGGATTAGACCTCTGTATTGGTAAGCCACTCGATGACACTTTCCTTAAAGTCATAAGCGATGAAGTTGTAGCGGTCGCTGGAACATTGCCCGATTGGCTGGAGAAAACGAACGACAATATAAACCAGTTACGTGCAATGCTCGAGTCTGAGTTTGGCAAAGTTCTGGCGATATTAAGTGAAGCCATTAAAGGCAAGAATGAAGAACAACTAATGGATAAAGAGTTGGAAGACAGGCCGGCGCCGCCGAACATTTGGGAAACTCTGCTTTCAAGGCAATTCAGTGTTTCCACCGCAGATTATAAATCTGTAATATTTGATGCGCCAGATCCAAACAAGTGGTTTACAGGAAGACAAAAAGTGCTAGAATCGCTTGAAACATGCCTCGCTTTAGAAAACAGCCACCAGAAATTTAGAATGGCGGCCATTTGTGGCCTTGGCGGATCTGGAAAAACGACCTTAGCTACTCAATTCGCTTGGAAGCATAAATCAGAATACGAGGGAGGCGTATTTTGGTTTTCCATGGAAGATGGAAAGAAGTTTGACAGTTGTGTAAATGATCTAGCGTTAAGTCTGGGAATGATGCAAAACTCGTTAGATTTGACGCTGAATCAGATTCTTACGTTCATATCTAAGCGAGTGAAACGGTGGCTTATGGTTCTCGACAACGTCGACCAGGCACCCCTTTCTGATAACATGCAGAGGGTTTTGTTAGGAAGATGGAAACGGTGGTCAAACGGCCACCTTTTAATTACAACCCGACGTGAAAGGAAAGAAATTTGCGAATGTGTACATCTTGAGCCACATTGCTGTGTAGATGTCTTCTCTTTTTCTATCGATGAAGCAAAAGAGTTTCTTCGAAGTCGTTTCGGCGATGAAAATGCTGCAGACCAGGATGATACGCTCAATGAGCTGGTTGTTGAGCTTGGTTGTCTTCCTCTCGCTTTAGAACAGGCTGGTGCACATATCAGATCCCTTCAGTGTCCTGTAAATAAATATCTGGAGCAATACAAACTTGAACGCTTACAGTTATTGAGCGAGCATCAGGCTCATCCCTCTTGGGAATATGAGTCCCGAAGTCGTCTTTCAGTTCACACTACATGGCTACTCAACTTCGATTACGTGAAGAAGTCAAGATATGGAGAAATTGCAACCAGGTTTATCCATGCAGCTGCTTTCCTGGATCCAGATGAAATACATGAAAGACTTATTAATGCTGAACTGCTTTCTCCTGACGATGCAGATGAGAAGAAAAAGGAACTCCCTCTTAGGAATAACCATATAGTGGAGGTCTTGACTAAGTTTTCTCTTTTTCAGAGGAAGTCTGTTCGATGCATGAGGTTACATCGGGTGGTGCAGCAAGTTATTCGCGGCACAATGGCATCACAAGAAATCGCGATGGCGATGCGCACAACATTTCAGTTGCTTAAGAATGCCGCTTCATCGGCTCGTGAACCAGCAACAGATATGTCTGTTTTCTCCATTATTCGTCACTGGTTGACACTGAAGCGACATATGGAGCAACAACTTCGAGGTACACCGAAGGATATACAGGCTGATCAATTATGGAGATTGGTAAACACACGTACTGTAGAAATAGTGTTCGCAGTCAGTCATACCTTGGAAGGCTCAAAGCAAACTTTGGAAAATCGTCGGAGATTGTCAGCTTTGCTCGATGGTGACTTCGACAAGTGGATAGGTGGACGAGAGGTGGATGTTGCAGTAAGAGAATCTCATTCATGCGAATGTGATGAATCATCTGACGACGAGGAAATAGGAAAATATTTCAAGATCGATTTAAAATATCCATTTCAATTTTCATGAAATTTTGAATCACTAAAGGCACCGACAATAAGGATTTCTTCACTTTTTTCTTTTGGGGAGCATAGCAATATTTGATCGTTTAAAATAGGGGTTGTACGAGTAACTTACAATGAAGGTTGTCACCTCCAAATCATGCAACTGCGAAAGCGAAGGTCGATCTACTTAAGTTCTGAAACAAAAAAGGCCCTGTGCACGAAATCAATTTGTGGATTTGTTAAACAGAAATCCAGAGAAGCACTTCTATCCAACTCTCCCTCTGAATCCATAGCGTTTTCGTCTGTTTGTGTTTATAGATGTATAACTTTTTGGTTTTACGATTTTATTCGAATTTAAAATAAAGGGACAGTACGGGTGTGTTCAGAAAAATTGTCAAGAATGATACAACAATGTGCATCCTGATTAAAAATCCAGATTTTTTTTATGTAAAGGTTATATATTTTGTAATAAAGTTTAAAGCAATCAGATCTAGGATCGAAAAGCTTTTGTGTCTGTAACATGTAGAAAATTCGCCCCAACTCTATTCGCAACAAAATTTACTCTTGCCCGGCGTCTGACTCAAATTGGAATGATTTGTTTTGGTTTTGCTGTTGCAATCGGATTTGTTTAAAACGGATCCCAAAGACAAGGAGAGACAATAAGTAGGTTTTTTTTTTCCAGGGAGTTATTTTTATTTGGATCATGATCTTCAATGGCCTTTGGTCTTAAACACAGTGCCGTGTTCAGTCGTGAGGTTTTGAGTTGTCCTGGAGTTCCCCGACTTTAAGTCCAGTACAGGCAGTCCGCTTTTTATTGATAGATTTGTTTTTCCATGCTCTTCAATTCTTATGCAGGGTCATTAGCCCGATTATTATATTTCTGTATAGCTCAAAACGTGTATTAAGCCTCAGTAAAGATATCTTTCACCTATGACGACATCAGATCAATTAATTATAACAATCATCATGCAAAATTTGGTTTATTCAAATTTCTGATATCGGTATATTTCTTTCAAAGTTATGAAAAAGGGCTCGAGTTTTTGGGAAACGCCTACCTTATGCCCCGTCTGGTTTCTCAACACCCATCGCTTTCTATAAAAGGCTGGTTTTCATTGGCGACGAAGTCTGAATCATAGTCGCAGTCGAAAGAGCGCCTTCGACCAAATGAAAATCGAAAATCGCAGTCGTAAGCGGTGTCGTAAGCTGGCCGGAATGGGATTCAGAAGAATCGGAAGAGTTCCATTTACTTCCGATTCCTCTCATGACTCCAAAGCTTATGATCCAGTGAAAACTGAATTGTCGGCGTCGTAGGCAGAGGTGGAAAATATACCAATCACGATGCGAGTACTCAGGCCATCCGATCCCTTTCAATCCGACAATCCAGTTTTCACTGGATCGTATGCGACCGCATTTCGTTTGATTCCATAGGTTTGACTTTCGTTAGATCATATCGCTTTATCCAACTCTGACTTCGTCGCGAGTGAAAACCAGCCTCAAGTGAAACAAGTTCAAAAAAATTGCTTGCCGATTTTGCGATAATTATCCGTATTCTTCCAACATCCATACCCTATCGAGTGTCCTAGCAATAAAATCGAGTTCACAAATCTATCTGAGTAACAAAATACTAGTCAACTGTACGTGTTCATCGAAATAAAGGTGCTCTTACGAATTTTAGATAACTAAGAAAAATGGATAACCACGCAAAAGGATCCAAAGGATTTAAAATCGACCCAAAAATGATAGGAAACTTTGTCAAGTGCTGTTTACAGGATTCACTTAGCTTTTTCCACTGAGAATTTCGTCTCCGGGTGGGCTTGAACCACCAACCTTTTGATTAACAGCCAAACGCGCTAACCGATCGCGCCACGGAGACTTGTTGCTTCTAAGCGAAAGTGCGCCAACACAGATTCTCAGAATAGTTCAGTCTCCTAATGTCTAATTTCATGGTAATCAATCAAAATAAATGAAGAAATAAATGAATGAATGGACCGACAGACGGATGGATTATTGGATAAATTATATCAGGCATTTTGGCGTCTTCATGCTTCATAGAACCTTTCTTTTTAACTGTTGTTTCTTTTACAGAGCGGAGGGCCATCCTCCCCCAGACACCTATCATGTAGATCAAGTGAAAAACGCGCTACATCAGATAGAAGCCCTAGATATTCCCTCCGTCTGTGAATCAAGGTGAGGACATGGTGAGGACAGCGCTTCAAGCGTAGCTAACAAATTTATACCGCTGGCTTACAAGGATGAACTGTGCAGCGAACCGTATTTTTATATGGTTGTAACTGAAGCAAGTGGAACAAAATTTGAGCTCATAATAAGAGGGGCATTGCCAAGGGCTCTGTATTGAATGATGCGTGGTATCGATTGGCGAGAACACAGCCGTAGAGGTTTTAGCTCGCTTACAGGGAGGGGTTGGGTTTTGTTTCCAAGTATGAAATCTCTGTATTTTGTTTATAGCATTTTGCTCAAAACATATCATTGGCACGTGTTTTTTCACAGCTTGAGAAGTGTAAGCAATCCTCTTCTAGCTTCGGCAGATATGCTGATGATTAACCCGCCCTGTTAGTTAAAAACCTCATCAACTGCAGGTGGCTCCGACACACCCACCGTTCAGAGGAAACACAGCAATGTGGATAACTTAAGGCTAGGTACTATCACGTGACAGATGACAGAGATTTGAGGCCTAGTAGCACCCAACCTCCTTCTAAGGGCCTCTTCTTATTCCAGTCCCCCAGAGGTGATTAGGTACCCTGGGAACGTTGGTGAATGATAACAAGGCCATGTGGAAACATATTTGTGACAAGCAGATATTTAAACCAAATTAGTTTCCCTGTTTCACGACCAAAAGAGTGAAACAATATCCAACTGGATGCAAATGCTTCGGACGTTTAATCAAGCGTCAATTTCTCGTCTACAATCGTCCATATTTAATGAATACTTTCGAATTTGCTTCACAGATGAAGTCGAGTCCTCCGAAAGTGGTAGCGTTCCCTCGACACTTCGACGGAAAGGTCTCAAACTAAGATCATTCTGGTCCCAATTCTCCCTTAATTCAGCAGGAACATTTAGGAAGAGCTTACCAGAAAATATACCTGATTTGTCGCAGATAGTGACAGCCAAGTAAGTATTAATAAAGAGGATGTGAATTGAGACGCTCTTAGAGAAATAAACGTGCTTTCGATTTAAAACTGAAAAGCTTAGTACAAAAAGATACATTTACACTCCTTTTAAATGGCACGTTTTTTCAGTGAGGTCATCTCTCAGAGTGTACCACGTGACCGTGAATCTACTGGTGTCAAGAATACCCTTAATCAGAGAGACACTTTACATGAGATCTGTACATGCCCATTTATAAGTGAACTCTCCAAGCAGGAACCCTAATTTTTCTGTACAGTCACAAACCATTGTGACAAAGTCTCTTTCAAAGTATGAGTTTTTTTCGATTGTTTAGAGGATATATTAAAGTTCACACGGCAACCAGGTGGACAATCAGACATGGTTTGATGTTACTCTGGTTTACAGATTTATGAATGTAACCGAAGAAGTTACAATTCATAGACCCAACGTTTCGACACTCCTGTCTAGTGCCTTCATCATGGGTGATCTAAACGCTGCAACAAGAGGTCCTTTTACATGATCACTAATTAGCGGCTTTTTTTCTGACAAGGTGTAAATAGGCGTCAGGAAGCAAACCGCCATCGTCACGATTTAAAGGAGCGTGGGCGGAGTTAATATGCCAAGCCTCCAAACAAAGGCGCTGGTGGTAACGCCGATTAGTGGTGATAATTTTAGAATTATTGTACCTAATTGTATGGTTAGTTAGGCATGTGTGCTCCGATAAAGCCGAGTTTTCCTTTTTCCGAAAGAAAACCGCTTTTTGATGCTCTTTTAAACGTGTACCAAACGTCAGTTTAGTACACGTTTAAAAGAACATCAAAAAGCGTTTAGATCACCCCTGGTGAAGGCACTAGACAGGAGTGTCGAAACGTTGGGTCTATGAATTGTAACTTCTTCGGTTACATTCATTAAATCTGTAAACCAGAGTAGCATCAAACTATGTCTGTTTAGAGGATCTTCAATGAGAGCCTTCAGTTTTGAGACACGTCATATTTTTGTCATCCAAAACAGAGCTGAGTTTTATCCATTCAGCGTGCTATTGTACTTCAACATTATTTGAAGGAAATTGAAATTTACTATCTATAGGAAAAAGGGTTGCAAGTCTCCCCTCTCATTGAGCGTCACGTGTTAAGTTCATATTTTTCAACTTATTGCAATCTACTCCGTCCTAAGGGAAAAAAATTGACGCTTTGCGCCAAAGATTTTCACCAGTTTCCAGAATTAAAAGCAAGTGCACAATGAAATCAAGTTCCTAATCTCTTCAGTATAAGTAATTTCGTTGAAAATTATCATTGTATTTCCTCGTCAATTTCCACTCTCTTTATTTTCTTCCAGGATTACAAAAATTTCTAATTTGAGTCATTGTAGATCCTTTATTGACGCCCCCGCGAAACTCAGGGCCCCTCAGAAATACTACGATTTCAAAAATTGTTCGACTAAATGGATTGTAATTCAGTCGTCAAAGTTGTAAGACTTACATCTCTCTTCGTTGATACACTCCAATCTACAAGAACTTTCTGATTCCACCTCTACCTCCTTTGTCACGCTCCCGTTGAGTTGTCTCTCGTCCATCATCTCGTCAAAATTAGCGGCTTGAAATCTGGGAAACCTGTTTGAAATGCGACTTGTTGCATAAAAAGTGACACCGATGAAGAATAATATTAGTAGGTGTGTGTTTAAGCTGACAGGTAGGTCAAAAGGTTTGCTTAGCCAAAATTGGGATGCTAATGCGTAATTTGTTTTTGACTCTGATCCAGCCAAAGACTAATAATCTCAATGCGCTTACACCTGGCAATTTTGCCTATTGTTAATTCTTACCTTTGTTATTGCAAAAATTATTTACTGAATTCTCAGTCAGCACCTCTAGCACTATGTGGTTAACATTTGGCGTTGTTTCAAACAAATATGTTATGAAATCACATCTACTTTGAAGAGAAAAACAATTGGGATAGAAACAGTTTAATTTAGTCTTTGTAACCAGCTTGAACCTTTGAGATGCTAGAATAGCAGTTCTCTATTTAATATTTAAAATATTCGTCTGAAGAGGTCTCTGATTTAATAAAAAAATAGGGTAGACGTGATATTTTGGCAACAGTTCCTTTGTTAGTTGTTTTTAACCCCTGGGGGACGAACTACGGCCACAGCCGTAGAAAATTACATCACCCTATTTTTGTTGCTATTTAAAGCAAGCCCGTGGGGAACTGAGGCTATTTATGCATTAAACCGCTGGATAACAAAATGAGGCTCATTTTCAGCGAAAAGAGCTCTTCGAAACATCGAAATACGAATTTTCCGGAATTTTTTACTTCAGTTGTTGCCAATATCGC